TTAACCGAGCTAGGTCGGTCTGTATGGGAGAATCTTGACCTCGGTCGCTGGTACAGACCTCACTGCGTTCAGTCTGTACTGGCAACCTCGGTCAAGATTCTCCCATACAGACCTCCCGCTCGGTTAATAAGAACTAAATATATAGGTGTGCAAATTCTACCGCCGAAAAGTTTATTCTTTGTGTAAAGAGAAAAATTATTCAGCCTCTTTCCTTTCACCTGAACTGAAAAGTTGTTGTGAAGCAAATCCCAACAAGTGCTTTAAGCAAATACTGTCAGGATCGTTTGAGAAAGACGCATGTCTACATTTTTGGATGCTTCCCCAACTTCATATCTTGAATTAGTCTCTTATCTCGTACTACTCTGACAGCTAAGGACTGTGATATTCTCCAGCAGGATCTGACAGGTTTGAACACCTGGAGCCATGAGTCAAATATGAAGCTTAACGCCCTCAAATGCAAAGTATTAACAGTCACACAAAAGAAAACACCTGTGACCCATGAATATTACCTTGGCAATGTAATTTGACAACGCGTAAAGGAAGAAAATGATCTTGGTGTTACTATATTTAGCACTCTATCGTGGGACTCGCACGTTATGCGCATTGTACTCAAAGCTAATAGAATGCTGGGTCTTTTAAAGAGAACTTGCCCACTTATCACAGACATTGAAGTCAGGCGAACAGAGGTATGGTCTCCTGCTAATGTCAATTTGAGAACGATCTTAGAAAGAGTCCAGAGGCGCGCAACTCGCTGGATATTAAGAACTAGGTTTGGCGAGACGTCCTATGAACAACGACTGCTAACTCTTCGCTTACTACCACTAACTTATGACAGGAAACTCACAGACCTTACCTTTCTCTATAAATGCATTTTTGGACATACCGACTTAAATATTGATAGGTATGTTACTTTTGTCACACATGGCCGATCTCGCTCTAAGAACCCTACTCTCGTACTAAAACCTGCTTACTGTAAAACTGCAACTTTTCAGTCCTCCTTTTCTAATAGAATTGTTAAACGCTGGAACATTATCTGTAATCTCGCCTCTCATGACAATTTTTCGAGTCTAAGTATTTTTTAAAATTTTCTGCGCGCCACTTATTTTACTTTATTGGACACTACTTATAATATTGACATGCCCTGCCCCTGGTTTCTCTCCCGTAACTGCCTTTGCCATCGCCCTTAATTTTTATCTAACTGATTTTATTTGTACTGTATTGTACACTATCTAAATTTAATCATAGTTAAATTATTTAAATCAAATTTTAGTTTTTTTATCGGATATATATTTATACATATATTTTTTAGATTTCGGGTTGCGCCTCGCATGGGATTTTGTTTCCGTGCGCGCAATCCCACTTGGTCCTTTTTTATTATTATTATTCTTTTATTTCTGTATATGTATAACTTATGAGACCAATAAAGTTGATAGACAAGTTGAAAAGCCAAACAAAGCGAATATAACGTTCAACGCCTTTTTTTCTCTTTTTTCCTTTTATTTTTTTCTCTGTTTGCTTCTATGCCTATTTAGAGGCTACTTCAAATTGATTTCTGAGCGTATAAAGAGAAAAATTTTCAAAAACATGAAGCAAATCATATATCATCATTCACCGTTTAAAATTGAAAAAAGGAAACTAAAAGGTCGGTTAACGCAGTACTGGAAGTACTAGCGTCATATCGACTGAAATCTCAGTTTTCTGATGATCAAATAACATGCGTTTAGAAGCAACCCATTGTTGCGTCTAGCAAAATACGCTTGATTTGTGTTGACTATTTGTAGCACAAAAAACGGTGCATTTGTTAAAAGATCGACATTTATAGTATGCGGGGTAAGTTATCTAAAACTTTCCTCGATGAGCCTTGAGCCATGTTCTGCCTTTTTTAGCGCGTTTTGACCGACTGAGTTTGCACCGATTAAGCATCTGACTCGTTTGAGGGAAAGCTTCTCTTAGATTTAAGAAATTCTTCTATTTCTGTTTCTTCGTTCATATGAGCCAAGTCAGCTGCATCCTTTCCATCCACTTTCAAGTTGACATCAGCGTTGAGCTCAACCAGCTTTTTAACAACACGGAAGTTGCCATGTATCGCTGCTAAATGCAGAGGTGTAAAGCCATCTCCATCGCATCCGTTTATATCTGCATTGTACTTCACCAGCAGTTCTACAATCTCGGGGCTACTACTCTTACTCGCCACATGAAGTACTGTCAAGCTGTGTATGTCAGGGAAGGTCTTTGCTTTCTCGGCAAATTCTACTCTTA